TCTCTTAACTGGTTCCATATGTCAGGTTTATCGCATGACTCATTAAGCAGAGAAAAGCTGTTGCTCTCAAAAATTGTCCACTTAATCAGCTGAGTCAGTGTTGATGAAGGTGGGTTTTTTTTTTTTGAAATACAAAAATAGAGTAGTTTATTTAGATTTCGTGGCTGCTGTATTTTGTAGTTTATTTTGATTAAAACTAAAAATTTGGGTATTATACTATTTTTACTTATTTTAAACTGGTGCTACTCACTTGGAGGTGGGAAACAGTACTTCAAAATGAAATCGCTGCCCCAGAAATTAACTATATTGTAAGGTGGGGTTTTGTTTTGTTTGTTGACTCTTTGCGGCAAGAGGGTCCTGGCTTTGAATCCACTGACAGGCAGAGTGAATGGAAGGAAACATTTTAAGATGACCTGTGTATTTGAGCATGACCAGATGTCTAAGACTAAAACTAAGCTCACTGCCTGCAGCTTGATATTTTAAAGAATAACATTAAGAAAACTGAGTGAGTCTCTAAGAAAGATGTATTTCATCATCAGGACATCCACTTCCACACATCATCTCTGCACACATTTCCATAAGCCCCTCCCTCCCTGTCCATCGCATGGCAGTACACATGGTTTAGACACATGAGAGCAGCTGTGTGTCTTCGGATGAAGCAAAAATGCATGTGAGCACACAAGAGCCACAAAATCCGCCTCGAAAGACAAAACATAACATGACCAGAATCCATTAGAAAACATATGTTTTCACATCTTTTCACAAAACACATGTTGAATCGTCCTTGACACGCTTCACCCCAGCCTGCTAGTGCTTCACGTGTACAGCCACTCTTGCCTCGGGTCCACCCCCTGCTGCTCTGATTGCTCGGTTAGCATTCACAGGCGGCAGGCGGCAGTGCCGTGAGTGCAGTTCGCCGACCAATAGCACAAAGCCATTATCACCCAACAGCCAATCGCTCTCAGCAAAAACACCAGCCCCTACCCTGCTGTTAAAATGTTTTAGTGCCAGTTAATACAGCTTTTTGCTGTACCAGCAAATGTTTGAGTCTGTGAGAGCTTCCCAACACAGGTGATGTGGGACATGTTGTTTTGTGTATGTGTCTGTGTGTCTGTGTCTGTGTGCACACGCCTGCTTACATGTGTTACCATGTGTCAGACATCATAACACCAGGTTGAGAAGACGTTGCTTGGAGTTGTAGCGACCGGTGTCCTGGTCCACTGTCATTAGTATCACCACAACTGAGCTGCAGTGACTCAGCATCACGAGACAGAGAGAACCACAGATAATAATATGAAGAGGCAATGATTAAGTGTTCCCTGGAGAAAGGGGGGTGGTTGTTACAGACTGTTCTATAATAGGGAACAGAATCAACACATCAGATGGCCTAAGAATACATTGACTAATCACAATGTCCTGTCTTAACTTCAGGTGAGTCGTCCACATCCCGGCGACAACCCTATGCTTTTCCTCTTCCTGGTTGGTGGAGTCACGCCCTCAGAGCTTCGTCTCATCAAAGAGATTGTTGCTACACATAAACCAGGGACACAGGTGAGTAGGCAAGAGCATATGTACATTTCTGCATAAGCATATTCACAGTTTGTTTTACTGTTTTAGTTTCCCTTATATATTATCTCACTCCTCCAATACAAATAAATAAAAGTAAAAACAAAAGGGTCATCTCTCAGTCGATATTAGTATGTCAAAATGTGGTTGTGGTTAGCTGAAGCCTCTTCATCTCAGCTGTCCATTTATGATGTACTTTGCGCAGGTCGGAAAATCTAGAAAGATCACATCGCCTATTGCTCATTTCTGATGTACCTGCTGCATTTGTTTCTCGCAATGTGAAATGTTTTTTTGTCTCCTGCCACCACTTGATCTTCCCCATCTCTGGGCAGAGTTGTGTGGGGACACACAGGAGGCAGAAGCGCCCCGAAGCGCTGTCAGCTTCCTTTCGGCACTCATGTTAACAAATTGGGCTGTTCAGGCAGGGCAAGCCAGTGTAGGTACAGCCACGAGCGAATCTGGCAAGAAAACGCACTGATAATCTACTATAAACGATAGAAATGATAGAAATGATCTGATTCCTTGCCAATCCTTTTGGTTTCTCTGTCCCTCTCACTGCTGCACTTCTGGAGTTTCAGTTCCTCCGAATCAATAATACGCACTTCATAAACTTTTGTTGAAATGAAACTTTACTCCAAAAGCCTTCCTTTTCCTTCAGAAATGCCAAACTGTTAAAAGCGTCTAGCGAGTTAAACTGCCATTGAATTTAATTGAGCTATAAAACATCAAATAATGAGACATAAAGATGAGGAGAGACTCTTAGGTGACACTTGGAGGGCAGGTTTACAAACTGACCACTTTCAGACATTCAAAGTGTAATTGGATCCACATGATGTTGTGTCTGTCTGCCTGTGTGTTTTGGTAGTTTAAGTGGTGACTGCATATGCGCAGCCTACACCGACATGCAAAACATGCAGGTGAACACGGTTTCTCTGCGCGAGAGAGAAGTGTGAGGAAGGAGGAGAGGGAGATCAAGCTGGGCAATGTGGGTTTGTCTTAATAAAAGGCTTTCAGAAGGAGGCCAGAGGCAATGAAAGGCCAGGCGAGGATCAAAGCCTTCCGTCTGTAATCAGGAAAACTGAATAAAGACGAGCTTATACAATAACCTGCTGGCCCACACGCAGACTGACCTCAGAACATACACTCTAGCCGCGGCACATACATGGCCAACATATTGTACACAAGCGTGTGTACGCATGATGGCGGATGTCTTTTGACCTGATGTTGATGAACAGTTAAACTAAAAAAAGCAAAGTTTTAGTCTTGCACTTGGAGACATTTATTTAAAAACACACTGACTCTGCCACTAAAAACAGGCCCATTGCCAATTTTAGGTGCTGACCCTGAGTTAAAGCAACAAAGGCTGCAGAGAAACAGAGCTTTCTCTGTTATACAACACACGAGGATTGGGGTTCTTATTGGAACTAGAAAGCGCTCAAAGAGCGAATGTCAACTAAAGTAACTCCAGTTTTTTCAACTGCATCAAAATATACAAAATCATATTGAAATGCCTGAGTTTTTTTCATTCAGGTTAAGTGCAGTAGTTAATGGGAAAAACAAAAAGAAAGAATTCCCACCTATTTTAATTGAAGTCTTTTTCACTGTCAAATCCTAACCCCCTGCAGATTTGACACGTGAATGTAAAAGGTTTGTGCCGGTAGTTTGCATATAAAACAGACTGCAATCTTAACATGTTGGTCTCATTTCTGAATAAGCATCCAAGTCACGTTCATGTTGTTTTGTGCATGTTGTTTCATGGCCAGTTTCTCGCAGTTGTTCAAAACAGTCCCCCCAAACTTTTGCCTTATTCTTGACACATGATCCTCAGAGAGAGCTTCACACTTGTTGGAGTATCATCTTCCAAAAAGTATTCTTTGCAATAACACGCCGCCTAAAAAGCAGTCAAACAACGAAAACAAGCAGGGCCCACAGCAGAACCTCCTTGGTGGAAGTGATTAAATCAAATTAATAAAAAATAAACCAGCTGGCAAGGCGCCTGATTCATGCACCTTGTTGATTGCCGTTTTGCACATTACTCACCCTGACATTCATGTCTGCCTCATATCTAAGTGTCGAATTACACACCGTGACGTAATTTAACCTTAATGAGTGTGTTATGCTCTGCTCCAGGTGCTGGTTTTGTCCACCAGATTACTGAGGCCGACGGATATCGCTGAGCTGCTCTTCGCCACACAAAGGTTGTTGCCTGATGTCAGTGTCTAATAAGGCCATCACGTGAAAACACACCCGCTCGCACACGTGGGAGGACACATGCACCGCCATCGCCCCGACGCCTCGTCAGGTGCGAGTCGAGCTTGAGCAAGTGGAAATCAAGGGAACGACACGCAAATGAAGAAACATTCCTATCTTGTTTATGTCATTGCGTCTTACTGAATTTAACTTGAAAGCAAACTAAAAAGTAATTCGATAAAAGTAGCTATTTGGGTGTATTTTTTTGGAGAAAATTTACTTTGTGTGTCAGTATCCCTTCACTTCTGCCAAACAGAAGTATTCAGGTAGATCAAGTGTTAATACAATAAAATCAGTTACTTTTCAAACAGTCATGTGATGTTGTCTTTTCGTTTGCAAATACATAAGGCTCCATTGTTAGCCGTTTTCGACCAGGCTGTGTTAAAAGTAGGCTGTGTGTGTGAACTGTTGGTGGTGGAGAGAATACACACTCGGTTAGCATCCATTCACACCTCGCCACATCATATGGTGACAAACCAGAGCAGAATAATTAAGAAGTCTTTTCACACGGTCTGCTAGGGCCGACAATTTGCTCACCTCTAGAGCCCCCACAACCTCCCCACCCTTTATTCTCTCTCTCTCTTCCCAAAATGAGTCATGGCTAGATCTCAGTAATTTCACCCACCTACACACCTGAATCAATTGTGAATACAAGAGTCTCCCACATATTGTCAGACAGGGAGTGTAGATATCCAGTAAATCCTGTGTTCTGAGGCCTTGACAGATTGTAACAGGATATTCAGGGTTCACTAAATTAGGTTCTGGATTGTAAATAAACAGATGTCTTAACATGCACATTCAGATTTTATTGGAAGTGCTTAATTTAGTGTTTTTCTCCCCACTTGTCTTCTGGCAGCTTACGATTCTCAGAAGAGTCTAATAAACTCTTCAGGCTCTTTCCAACCACTTATTTTGTTAAGTTGTCTGGGGTCAGTGACTGTACTGGGTTTTTTTTGGTGTAGACATCTCAAAACCTGAACCACCTGAGCTGTACAGTCTTGCTTCTGTTGTCTTCAGTGCTCTTTAATTGGTAGGCAAGACTGCCAGTTTCTGTGGTTCATCCCCTTCACTGCAGCAGTGAAGTTTTATGGAGCCAAGGCCATCCCATTGACAAAGTGAAAGTTTACCATGTGAATGTGCTTGCTTGTACTGTTGCAGTTGATAAAAATAAATCAGAGACATAGTCAAATTCATCGTCATTTTTATTGTGAACAAAATGAGAATTTATAACAAATAGGCCCTTTGGATTATTCCTTTTTATTAAAGTGCAGTGATGATAACCTCCACATGCTACATATGGTGTCTGCTGTTCCACTACCTCATCATTTCTGTCATACAAAATGATTGTTCTAGATGCTGCAAAAATATACACTGTAGGTATTGACATACAAGAGAGGGCACACACACAGCTGCACAGAGCACTGGCACAATTAGCTGGTATAATAATTCCAGCATTCAGCAGTGCCATGTAATGACACTGGATAAAACTGCCACAATGGGCCGCACAGCTAAAAATAAGCAGTAGTCCTTCAGAGTTGCTGTTGCCAGGAGAGCTTGATTTACAGTTTGATTTTATATGCAGAGAGTCGGATTCAGTCAACCTCACAATGCTGCCTCTGCGTCCTGAGGAGTCATCTCTTCTGAACAGATGAAGAACTTCCTCACGGCTTCTCCTCACACATGGTATCTGAAAGGACACCTGCCCACTTAGAGGTCACCACCTCTGTAAAGATTCAGCGTCCAGCCCCTTTAGGACCAGTTCATGTCACACCCGTCTTTGTCAGCCAGACTGGTACGGGACATCAGTGGAGAAGCATGAATCTTCTGTCCTAATTTCTCAATGGTTTCTGCCTTTCTGTGAGTCCTTTCTCACACCGAGGTGACAGTCCTGACTTTCGCCGACAGCGCTTGCTTGAAGCGCCTCTTCAGGTCTTGCATGTTGGGAGACTTTGGCCTGGGGATTAGGGGCGAGCGCCTCTTCTCCGTGGCAGCACTGGCTGAGTTGGAGGCAGGAGGCGGCTGTTTGGCTAGCTGGCAGCACAGCCTGTGGAAAGCCTTGTGCACCTGGCTGTAGTCCTCACTGGCAGATACTTCATAGAAAGAGCAGCCCAGTGTGCTTGCCAGCAATGGGCCCTGCTGGGAGTCGACCCGCCTCAGGTGCAGCAGGTCAGCTTTATTGGCCAGAAGAATTACAGGAGGCATATTGGCGCCGCCAACACGAACAATCAGCTGGTGCAACTGATTAATCAAGTCAAAGCTGTTGCGGTCTGTCACAGAGTACACCAGCACCACTGCGTCAGCCCACTGGATGGAGCAGGTCACATGGTCAGGTAGACTGATGCCATTGTCAGTCAGCTAGGAAAGGGGACGAGGAAAAAAAAATAAATTATAAGGGAGACTGATTAAATACAACCCAGCACACTCAACTTTGACAAACATTTCAAGAATTTGTCCTTGACTAAAGAATGAATCAGAATTCAGACCAGATGAAACACACAGGCTTTATGCAACTGATCTTTAGTCATGATTGGAATGCCGACTGAGGCAGACAAGAGCTATAGGGTTACTCCTCCTGAACAGTGAGGTGTGGGTGATTGAGGACTGGATCAGGGTATCATTTACCCTGGCCTCAGACATCCATTAGCCTAAATGGGAGATTAGACAGCCAGGCTAAAATGGCTCTACTTCTGGAGAAAATATACATGCGCGGGAATCTTTGGTTTTGGACTGGTGCCCCATAGAGAGGCTTAGATTGTAACAGTGAATTAGATTATTTTGTATCGGATTATCCTCAGCTCTTGAATAGATTTATGTGCGAGAACCCCGTCAGCCCTTTTACCTTGCAGTCAGCCGAGGGGAAATAAACTGTAATCTGTTTGTTTTCTATCTGAGGAGAGGAGAGGGTTTTACCTCCACACCAGGAGTGTCTTGAACCTGGATGGTCACTTGCTCTGCATCAACCTGGACTTCTCTGGAGTAGAGATTACCTGCACATACAGAAGAAACAAAAGGAATTTTAACACAAAACAGATTCAACATTTTATAAGAGAGCCATTTAGTCCATTTCATCCACAAAAATTATAACTGCCCAGTTACTCACCAGCATTTCTCTCGTAGTCGCCGATGAAGCGCCGCGTTAGGAATCTCACCACGAGCGCTGAAACAAAGCAAAGCGATAACACAATGTTAGACAATTATATGACAGAATATAAGACAAAATAACCATGAGTAAAATAGAGCACAATGTTTAATTCATTTCCTTACCGGTTTTCCCAACTCCGCTGCCTCCTATCACAGCCATTTTAATGACCCGGTTGGGCACCGAGTACTCAGCTGCCGGATACTCCGCAATTGTCGTCATGTTGTGGATGAGACGCATTTTCTTCCGTTTGTCAATTCCGTCCGAGAAAGCAAAAATGGAGACAAAACAAGTTCCTTGTTCAGGCTCTTTCAACAAAGGCTTCGGATAAAACGGGTAAAGTTAATCCTATATCACTCCCGAAGTGGTTCAGTAGAGGTAAAATAAACCAGGGCTGGTGCGGGAGAGACGAGTTAGACGCGAAGCACCGAGTGAATGCTGCTGCGTAGAAGCGCACGCGGGCTTTATAGAGCTCGAGCGGCGGTCACATTTGATTGGACGCTGGTGATCTCCCCTCCCTCGTGCGCCCCCGCCTACACGTGGATATGCAAGCTATACACAAGCAAAGAAATCCGCCTGCAACAGGTGGGACCTCTAGCTGGGTGTCCTGGCAAAACAGCCCTTCTTTTGGAAGGGGAAAAAGAAAAACTGTATTTTCTTTTCAGCGACTTGACTGATATATATTACAAACTGAATCATATTTTATAGTAAAACGTCAAAATTATTGTTTACCTATAAGTACTCCAAACTACAAAGTGTTTTGTCTACATAATTTGAGCATAAATCACATCCTGAAAATACAATCCACACATAAGGAAATAAAAAGCATTTTGTGCTGTGTGTGGTTTTGTTTTGTTTTTTTGCCTCAACCATAACAGCACAGTTTTGACTGGAATTACAGGATTATGGATGCACAACCTCCCTGTGCTGTGTTGCAGCCGGTAACCTGTTCAGACATGTCCTTACACTTGTGAATCTTCCACATAGGGGGTTAATGGCTGCTGATGTACAAATACAACACCCCCTCACACACACACACACACACACACACACACACATGCACATACCTTACAAGAACTCATGCAAGCATTCATGCTGTGAATGTGAAAATCCAACTCAACACCAAAATATGACACAATATTTCAGGCAGTTATCAAAGAATGGCAACACAGCAGTGGGCTGTGTATTTTTAGGAGAGTACAGAAACATAATAAAACATTAGTTGATATTTCATGTGACAAATCAGTTCAGCAGCTGCTCTCTGCTCCATCTTTAACCTGTATCATCCCTTTGTCCCATTTTCTTCTTTGTCACATCCCCCACAAGCCTCCCTCTCCCATCTTTCATTTGTGCTCATGTGCTCTGAGGTATTTTGGCATCCATTCCTTCTGTGATTATGGTCTGGTATGTATTTTTGATAAGAGGGCTGATGACAGGCGGCTGCACTCAAATATGAAATTAGTGCCCAGGATTCGTGAGCAGACATGGTTGCTAGGTGTGTACACATACACACACAGAACTATCCCTCTAACCACATCACACAGCCTACACAGTGAACTCCACCCCAGCAGCATTATGGGAAGGGGCAAGCCTGTTTTCTCGCTAATAGTGAGTAAATACTGTACATTCTTGCATTTGATGCCCTGTAAATTGGATTCTCTCAGAGCTTCTGGGTACAAATCCTGCCTCTTTTAAATGAATGATGTGAGTGAGGTGTCACCGTTTTGTAATCTAAGCCCACACTGCAGCATATTTGTAGCACAGACAGATAAATGGCGTCACATTTTTTTCCCTCTTCTAGCAACCAGGCGAGAAGGCTAATGATGGCAGATAATGGGAGGATGCTGTGGAGGTGTTTTTAGCTTGTTATCCTGATGAACGGCCGGGATTTACTCGTTTGATGCACAAGAGACCCAGAAATGGTGAGTGACTCACACCAAAAGTCCAAGCAGTGGTGTCAACATAGTGACTTTAAACTCATTATGACAGATGGAGTGCAACATCACTTGGTTTATATGTGAAAAACAATGTGGTGTGGTGGTAATGCATTGCTCTCTGCTGTGCAGAAATACCACTAAGCTCCACTGTCAGTGTATTTGTGCCTTTAGGCCAGTGTTGCCTTCACTATGCCTGAGGGAGGTCTGGAGGTAAATTAAAATATCTTTGAATCAAGGCTTACAGTTTTAGCTACAACATAGCACAACAAGGCCTGACTTGGGGATCAGAGTGTCAGTCACACAGAGGTGACAATAGATGGTTAGAGAGGGTAAAATGGGGGGGGTAATCTTTTATCTGGGGTGTGGACAATTGTCAGGGAGAATTCGGGGTAGTTAACTGCAAAAAGAGGAATGTTGAGCTAATGGGGGGTTGGCGGCGAGGACGAAGGGTGGGTGAAATCAGGAGGAGTAGAAGAAGGAGGTGTTCCCAGAAGGATGTCCTTGTTGACACATAAGTGAGGACTGATTTCCCAAGGTGGCCTTGCCTTTTTACAGTGGAGCTGAGATGAGGCACTTGCCCCCGGGCCTGATCCCACAAAGGACTGTCATTTGGGATATCAGAGAAACTGGGGCAGTTAGAAGCTGCCCTGGGGACTAAACCTTGTGAGCCACGGTCATATGTTTATCAGTACCATGATAGATGCTTATCATTGTCATTGCCTTTAATCATTGTCTGCAAGAGTGATTATTAGGAGCCAATTATTGGTTTTAGATTTAGTCATTTTGTTGCTGCAAAAAAACCTTCTAAATACTCAAAATTTTGACTCAGACAAGTATGGGTTTAAAATGTTCTATAAAAGTTGCATATTTGATTCATAATTAGAAAAGAAATAATTGAATGCAATGGCCGGTTGTTATTCGCTTATTTCTTGTAGGACTTTTGTTCAGATGCACAAAAGCAAGGGTAACTCTGGAAAGCAGCTTGCATTCACACATCTTTTCATAGATCTCTTCACTTATTTGTTTATATCTACAAGGGCATTTGCATTTGCATTGACCAATAGGAATTGTATTGGCTTGCCAGCACACACAGCTCTTCACCTATATAAAGGAGGGGTTGTTTTTTTATTATTGAAATGTAAACCTCACAACATGTTCAACCATTTGCATACCTCTGAATGTCAACAGTAGTAGGGGGGTGGCAATGGTGGTTTTAAGGGTTGTGTGTACAATGGCACTGAATGACAATAGTCCACCACCACCTCCTCCTCCCACTCAAGGAATGCCAGTTAGTCATAGCCGCCTTCTTAAGAAACATGAAAAAATTTTAATCTTGATTCTCCATCTCTAACTCATGCTCCCCTTCTCCTGTTTATATTCCGCAGCTGATCTCTGGCGTGACACTGGATAATTGAATTTCATTCTCATTTCTGACATGCACGTGTCAGTCCCCAAACTGTTTACGAGTGCCAACATGTATGGCTGTGCACATGTGTGTGTGTAGGAGAGGCAGACACAAAAAGCACTAGGTGTTGCAGCAATAACAGAGGATAGGGGTGTTTTCGTCCAGCGTACATGTGACATGTACTTAAGGTAAAGACTTTAAACTGTGGGATTATCCTGTTTTTACTGATTGAGAAATTGTTGTTTTCTTCTCACATGCAAAACCTGTGAGTGTATAAATGGCACTTGGTCAGTGCACATTCGTTTTGTTTTTAACCATGTTAAGTGGAAGATTACGACAAAAATTTGATATGAGAGGGGAATCAAATGATTTTTGCAAAGATTCCAATTTTGATGTCTTTAGTCAAAACATTTCAAGGTATTTTGGTAAGGAGGGAGGAGACTTTACTTTTTCAGTCTGATGGAGAAAAACAGGTTAAGTAAAGTCAGAGATAATTAACTCAGACAGCTGCTTTGTCCATAACAGTTATTCATTCAACATCCTCTGCACCACCGTGTGTGTACAGTAAATAAAGGTGTCATTAGCACACAGTGGTAAGCGAAACAGTAATGAGCCCGGCTTGACCCCTGCAGTACACTCATTAGACAGCAACAAAAGGGGTTTGGGAACACAATGTTGAACCAGAGAATAGAAAGTTATCAATTTGCATTAGTACATCAAGTTCAAACAATTGCTTAATTTTTAAAGGAGAGGTGGATTGATGGATGTCCAGATATCATTGAGACTAACCATTTCAGCTTCAGCCTTATTTTTATGTATCATTATTGTTCAGGCATCCATGGCAACCAACGCACCTGCATTTTTTTTATAACGTAATTATTATATAAAATACACTGGGAGCTGGGTTGTAATGAAATAAAGTCATCATCAGAATGACAGAGGCACACAGACTGACGGGGACACTTTGCTCTGGACAGATCGTGCCTTGACACGGGCTCAGTGGTTGAGATTTATGGTTCTGGGCCTCTGTCGGTAATTCAGACCCCCCCCCCCGGGCCCAGTCTGTCCGTCTAGCCTGCTTTACTGCCCAGACCGAACGGAGCTGGAGCTCATGCTGGAGGCAGAGCGAGGTTCAGAGTAGGGCCTCTGTGGTGGTTTAATATAGACAGACAGCCTCCTTCTGATTTTGACCCAGGGCTATAGCTCTGATCTGTGGATGTGGTTACTGAGTGGCCAAAATGAAGCCACTGCCAAGCCCTGCTTCACATACTGGCTTTTTATATAAACAGTATGAGAAAGTTTATGCGAAGTAGCACTGTACTGTGGGTATATGGAGTGCAACGTTTGGTCTTTGTGCGCAACAAAGGGGGGTTAGAAATGTGTGAATCAGATATGATTCTGGCTTAAACTATGCCAGCTCTCACTATTCAAAACTCTTCTGTGGCCTCTTCACAGTCCGCAGCGGGACAGAGTGACCTGTTCAGCTCGTCATCTGACAAGTAACAAGAGCCCAGCGATGAATAGGGACAGAGATGTAATTTAGGTTCAGGTGTGGATATGAAAGTAAACACAGAAGAAAGGAGGAACAGTGTGTGCACATAAACTTAATATTTTTCTGATTGCGTTTTCAGTCAGAACTTTGCCAGATATCTATCATCATCATTATTCTTCCATCCTTATCATCATCTTATGTCGATACCCTTAATTAAATTGTTTGTTTGTTTTTTCAGTTTACTTATGCATCTGTCATCTTTTGTCATCCCCGAGGCAGCTCTTCTGTCAGCCCAGTGTCTTGGAGTCTAAATAAAGTTTTGTGTGCAGACTGACAGACAGGCTCAGTCCTGTCACTACATCTCACAGGAAGAAAGAACCTCAGTGCAGGTGGATTAGGCACACCTGTGAACAAAAATCTCATGGCATAAATAGACTCGCCTAAACAAATAGAAAACACTGAAAAAACATGACAACACTAAGCCGTGTTTTAGTCCGTGACCTAAAGGAGTTTCCCTCAACATTCTGTAGACAGACAGATGAGAGAGGCATATTTAAATACAATAACAACACAGAGGAAATGTAAGGTACTG